TGGAAATTATTTAAATTACATTCTACATCTATTAAAAATCACCATCCTTCTAATACTGCATCCAGGTGAATAATAAAATCCATACAAATGTCTACTAGAAATTCTCTGTAACACAGCAGCGGGAAAGACTTGCTCCTCCTTTTGGAGTTGAGGCTCTCCTAAAGAAATTTTCCCCAATATTTCTTTTGAAAAGTGTTTTTTGTGTATACCTCCCCTGAAGTGTTTGGAATCCAGATGATTGTTTACAGACTATGTCTATAGGTGTATTTTTAGAGAGGTATTTAAAATTCTAAGTCTGCACTTCTTTGATGTTATCTTACCACATAACTAAATCATCATCCCATCTCTCTCTACGTAGACTGAAGGGCTCTGATTGTGCTCTAGGTTTCACAGGAAGTTTGGCAGAACCAGCACTACCTCTGCAAAATCAGAGTAAAATCGATGGCTTAGTCATGCAGGGAATAATGGTCAGGTACTGTTTCTACAGAGAAGCAGCTGAATTTCTGTTTGGTGAAAGGGGGAAAGGAAAGTGCATTAAAAGGTCTGATTCGGTTTCCATTATATCCCTCAGAAAAGTTACAAATTATTTAAATAAAACCAGGACTATTTAGTTTTTATTTACATATGAATTCAATTGCTGTTACAAAAAAAAGAAAATTAATTTAGGTGGGGCATCTCAGCACAAGAATTGAGAAACAGATACATTTTATTTCAGCAGCATATTCTATTTTTACATGCTACAGTTAAGGACCTACAGTGTGAAGCTGCTGAATAAATTCTCCAAGTAGCTGAACCCTAACACACATGTGATTTATTTAAATAATATATTTTCCTCTCTAATGTGTGGGAATTCCCCTGTGTTAATATGTCAAGATGATCCATTCATACCTTGTGGGTGCTGCTGGGATATGTGGAGCATAAAAGATTTAAGGTGGAACATTTCTGTAAATGCTACATGCGTTCTTGTCTGTGGGCCAGCAACACGATATCCTAGCTTGAGTTACTGGTTTCATCACGTCTGAATATTGAAGTGAGACCAGGCTTCTATACTGGGACATTCCAGAGGCTCCAGAATAAAATTCTCGATTCCGCCATTCCTGAAAATTCATAGGCAAATTTTTACTAGTAGATTCTCTTTATATTCACCTGGTTATGCATATTGGCTGGATCAGATCTGAGGTTTGAAAGATAATTAGTGAATAAGTAATTCCCATTTAAGAAAACCATTTTCCGTGAAGTCTCAGAAGTAGTTTTTTAGACCAGTTTTAACAGAGGTTTGCATCTCACACCACAGAGTGCGGTGTGCCACACATCCAGCTACCTACAGCAGGAGCAGCACATCTTACCTTCACCGCTTCTTCCAGACTAATTAGATTCCTCATCTCCTAGAAGCTGAGTGTCTGCAGTAGATTGTCAAAGCAATAGGCTTCTTTTGATGCTGTCGTCAGTCTAGACCAATTGACTTGTTATCCACTATTATTCTCCCTGTGCAGGTCTCAAATTTGAAAGCCCACAATTTTGTTACTTCAGGTTTATACTGTACTACAAGCAACTTAAAGGAACTCATTCACATAAACACCAAAACCAAGTCTCATTAAATAGATCAACTCAGTATCATATGAAGTACAGCATTTAATTTTGTAAAGTCTTTTGCATCTTAATGTGGGCATTATTATTCCTAGGGCTATTACGAAAAGCGTAAGATTTCCACCCACTGACCAGCTACATTTTAGTTTTTTGACAAGGCACTAAACATTGTGAATCCAATCACTGTGCTCTCTCTGTAACATTAGAGAGGTTTTTAATGGCTTTAATAGGATCAGAAACCACTCATTGTAATTCTTCAAACAAGCATTTGATTTTTCCAGAAGTTAGTTTCCACTGGAAAAATCTTTAGAGTTCATGTTAAAAATATTTGAATGACAGTTTTTATTAATAGAAAAATATATATTTACAGTCAATACTGTTATCTTAGATTTGCAGCTCTTCCTATTTCTTGAGCTCAACTGAAAGTGCGACATTGCTAAAAAAAAAAAAAATCAAGATCTGTGCACATATTCAAGTAAGTTGTAACATGCACAGCCAGGGGTTCTGTTCCTGTCATACACAGGATCCCAGTTACAAACAGAGCGGGTTTTTTTCCTTTTGCTTAGCAATTATGCTGTAGCATTCTTACGATTTGTTTACAATCAGTTTAATGCATACATTCTCAGATATTTACGTGGCACAATCTGTTGCCAGGATGGAGAACCACCACAAACACAGTTACAATCATCGGCTATAGGCATATCTGCAAAGTCAGCCTCAAGCTCCCCAAGGAATAGCTCAGGCAAGATTGTGTTCGACTACTTCGACCATTCTTTCTTTTTTAAAGAAAAAAAAAAACAACACAACACACAACATGACAAATTGCTAAAGTTTACCCAGTGCTGCACAAGAAAGAGATTGGTAGTGAACATCTATCCATGCTTGATTATACTGCAGAGCTAAAATGAGTATTGGTTCATCACAAAAGATATAAACTGAAATTGGATAGCTAGAGATACCAAGGCTTCGGACCAGCTGCATTAAATACCTATGGTTGTAAACCATTCAAAAGTTGACTTTGCATGTGTGTGTTGACATGAAAGTGACACTGAGAACATGTGTCCGTAAAACATGGAAACACCTACCGGCTTCAAGGAATGAGCCCACTGCAATGGCAAGTGGTCCAAGGATTGCTTGTATAGCCTACATGAGTTTAGTGATAAGTTATGTGTGCACACATGCTACAAAACAAACACAAAACCAGACCACAGAGGACAAGAAGCCCTACTCGTAGCTCAACACATTGTGACTAATAGCTAGCAGATAGTATGCGAGTGACTTGCCATGCTTGGTGGATTTAAGCTATGAGAGGATTGCCCTCCTGTGTCCAGATAAAGCAGGGCTGCATTGAACGCGTGTGATGCTTTGTAAAGGTTCTACGAGCTGCTCAGCAGTAGTGTAGAAACTTTCTTTCCTGATGTAGTGGAAGTACCTCAACTACATACATTGCACCTGGGCTTTTAATGTTCTGTCCTCTTTTTCTGCATCAATGCCGCCATCCTAACCTTTTTGCCAAAAAGAAAAAAATATATATCACATTAAAATATATTATCCTTATCCTTGCCTGATCCTTCACTGATACAGGTGAACCAAACAAAAGAAAAATAATCAGAAGTTTCAAAAAAAAAAAAAAAATCTTTAGAAAGGTCACAAAGACAGTCTCTATACTACGGCACAATCGATGTAGGCTTCCACACACTATTCAGCATAGCTCTGATAGGTGTCAGAGAAGAATAATACAGACATTTCAACCCCTCCAAATGTACAGTGTGGATCCAGAGCTAGTTTTGCTGACTTTAAGCCTGCAGGACTGTTTGTTCAGTTTCCATGCATCTGGTCCAAGCATGCATATGCTGTATAAAGTGGCTTATTTGTTTCAAGGCGGAAGTGAATTGATTCCTCAGTCTTAACAATCAAAATGAAACATCAATCCATAAAAAGAACACATGAATATCTGTGCATTTATGTGCCAGGAAAGTAAAGGGAGGGGCTGCAGATCTAGCATCAGGTAAATGCTGGTATGTAAAGTGAACACTGTAATGTACAGCTTTAAAAAATACATACAAGAATTGCACATAGATCCATAGGAGAGAAGCACAGGCTTGTAACTAGGGCTGTCTGCTTTCCATCACCTGGTCAGAATATTCGGTATCACTTTTTCCCCTGCATCCAGATCAATTCTTCAGAGTGATTCAGGAAACAATTCAGAGCCTAGCAATACTGAGCAAAGATACTGCCTGTACAACTGCAAAGGTTCCATAGGAAACAGGCGTTAGGTCAGGGAAGGAAGTCAGCAGCGGCCTCTAAAAGTGAAAAGCTCCTTCAGGTTGAGTTTTCTGTCCCTTTAACCCTCACTAATTCCTGCTCTAGTCCAAAACTCTGTCTGCAATGCTCTTTGAGCTATTCTGACAACACTCCATTTTTAGGGTGTTGTCTATAGCAATGTTAGAAAACACTAGTTACAACAGACAGGAGATATGCAGCCAAATACCGCTGCGGGAAAAACGGATCACGATACTGTTAGTTGTGGCTGCCAAGCTTAACAACTCCCTCAATAATTAAACAACAGTGTTTTTGCCCCCTTGTTTTTACCCTTCAGAGAACTGTGTCTGCAGTGAAAGTGTCTCCATGTGGCCTGTTAGCTACACACAGACAAGCTCTAAACATTTATCTCCTGCCAACATAGCAGCAGAGCCAATTTCAGTCCCACTTTGCAATATGGCACAAGTGACAAGAGCAAACCAAAATAAAACAGAAGAGGTGGCTGTTATTTTCATCCCCGATTCATAGCAGTGATTGTCAGAGAAGATTAAGGTACATCCTATCCGCTTCAAGTCAGGCTTTAGTGCCTTTTGCGATGGAAGGGGAATTTCAATTGCCCACCATGTGTTGGTATGGTTCTTGTATAAACGTGGTTATAGCTACAGTACATCAACAGTCCAGACTGGCGAATGTCACGTAGGAAATGGGATAGGCAAAGTGTGCATATTCTGCTTTTTAATGCAGAGGTCTTAAGCTAAGGGTAATAGGCTGATTAAGGCGGCGTTGTTGAAGTCACAGATCCATGGTTAAAAAGGATATAGGTAGGCAGTGAGTCAGAGGAGGAGGAAGAGGACTGAACACAGATGCTTACTGCCACACTTGCTGCAGTCAGCAGGATAACCACATCTGGCAAGGAAAAAAAGAAGGTGTAAAGTGTAAGACAAAGATCAGAATCTGGTTGAGACCAAAGGAAAGAGGAGTGCAGCCCACTTGTCGGGGACTGACTAAGCTGAGAGAAAAATCTGCGTGGTATGTGGAATGGAAGCAGATGAAATGTTTTGTGGCATGGTGGATCATTCATCTCACATTTACAACTAATCCATTTCTGCTTGTGGTCACTGCTATTCATTAACCAATGCTACATAGGGAAATGACAGAAACTACGCAGAAGAGGAGGGCAATTTGTTTACTGCAGTGGTAGAAATAGTGGTATCAAAGTTTGCTCTCCTTTTCAGCCAGATATTAATAAAGTTACATACTGTCTGATCCAAATGCAGTCATGTATATATCCCTAACAGGCCTGGCAAAAAGGTAAAGTTTCTGTCATATTGGGTACAGGATGCAATTTCTCCAGTTAGAACCTATTTGCTCAGAGTTGCTGGCTTTGACATGTAGGCTATTTTTTAACACTTGTACAAAGTGTGAGCCCTAGGGCATGCTGGATTGAGGGCTGGGGTGGAGGTGGGGGATGCTTCATGAAAAGCAACAGGCTCTGCAAACTAGTGCTGCTGCATGATTCTCACAATGCGATGAAGCGAGTCTATAGTGGCAAAAGCCAGATATTGACAACAGAGCCAGTCTTCCAGAATAACTCCACAGTCCGTGTGCAAGGACTTCTCTGCAAACTTGATCATCAGCAGCGTCCTTTTGATATCCAGCCAGTTCTGAAGTACAGCATCTCTCCTTGTGGGGTTGGAAGATGTACGCAGAGCATGGAACAAGTCCTCCCGTGGACCCCAAAGCAAACACTGAAGGATTCCCTTGGCTTCTGATATCAGGATCCTCTCTGAAGGGTTGGGATTCAGCAGGCAGCTGGCAAGTTGTTGAAGCCCTTGAGAGTAGAGGGAACGGCAAGGAATCTTGGGGAGATCAGCACGAGTATACTCCTTCTCCTTCAGCTCTGGATTCTCATCAAAGGGATTGGGTAAGTGCAGCATTTCGTAGATGAGGATGCCAGTCTGGAACTCATCACACTTCTTGTACTGCGTTGCAGTGATGATTTCTGGAGCCAGGCGGGACTGATCCCGTAGGACTTCAGGATCCACCATATGACTCTTCTGCTTGGCCTGGGAGAAATTGCTTACTATTAATCTGGCCGGGCAAGCAGTGTTGGGACTGGGCTCCATGGACTCAGAGCTCAGAGGGCTGCCTCCTGGTCTGGAATGCACCAGCAGCAGGTTCTCTAACCGCAGATCACAGTGTGTGATATGATAGGGTTTCAGGTGCTCCAGACCCAAACACAGCTGTAAAAGGAGCAGACAGACCTGCCTCTCATATAAATCTGGGCTTTTTACATGGCGGGGTGCAGATTCTCGCACAAAGTCGGCCACTGTTAAGTATGGGACCTCCCGTGTGATGACCACAACACGGCTGCGTGGCTTGCTGATGGTCCCCTGGTTGCTTGAATTGTCTTTCTGTGAAGCTTCTGTACTGGAAGAAGTGTCTCTGTTCTTTTGCTCAGGTTCTTTCTCCTCTTCTTCCCGCTCTTCTTCTTCCACCTCTGGTGCATTGGCATCCTCCCATGGAAGGAGACGAACTGGCACTTCAGCAAGGAAATGGCCACAGTCTTGTTGGATGTTGAAGTTGATAGCCAGACTCTGCCGGATAGATAGGCTGTGATAATACTGCTGGGATTCCTTATCTTTGCTCTTACAAATCTGGGGGAAGAAAATAAACAGAACAGACATAACATAACTCTTAAATTTGTAAAATGTATATACTTTTTTTTTTAATATGTACCTTGCTGATGGGTATCCACAGTCTAGCCCTAAACACAAGCACTGAAAAATTTTTTACTGAACCGACCTTGGCAGACTATCTTAAGGCACATGAACAGTTTCCATTGGATAGTAAGCAAATGCAGACCAGTACGTGCAGGCAGCTCTCCCTGTGCATATATTATCCAATGGAAAATACAGTTCAGGCAGCTTGTGCTTTTAATCAGAATAGCAGCTGATATTGGGTAAATTCACAGTGAAGCGTACAGTGAAGCACAGTTACTTGCTTTCCATATAATTTTATTTTGTGTTCTTCTCTCAGCTTTGTGTGAAGCTTGAACAAGATAAAAATAATTGATAGCAACAGGAGATACAAAGAAACATGCATAGAATATTTGAGGCTATGATCAAACGATTGCACATGACTGAGTTAGCATGGCATAACAAGTTAGCACCTGTCAGCCAAGTTAAGTGACTGGATGCATGCTCCTTGCCCACTGTAATTGGAAACTGAAATCTATTAGCTGCAGCTGTGTCAAGCTAACACATCATCTCTCCAGTGAGGGGTCTATGCATGTGTGGCAGGGGCTGTTGGCAAACACACTTGCTGTGGCTCAGGTGATAAATGGAAACTCATTAACACACATACCTTAATTCCTTTCAATCATTTGTCAAAGTCCTAAGTATATGTTTTTATTTTGCCATATATAGCTGTATTTAATTTCTCTCCAGAAATATCTTGTTGATACGTACATTATCACCAAAATAATTATCCTTATTGTTTGCACTGCCATAACAACTGGCAGCTCCAACCCCCTTACAACAGCCACTGGACAACCTCTATCAGGGTCTCTGTTGTAAGGCATTTCCTGATTAAAATTACAGCCCTATGAAGGCTCAGGCATGTTGACCTTTGCATATTAACCTTAGTTCTACTGACTTCAGTGAGATTGTTCAAAGCGTTTAAGGTTAAGTCTGTGTTTTAATCTTTGCAAGGTTAGAGCCTAAGTATTCAGTTGGTATAAAGCACCAACAGGTCTTAACTAGAAAGCTCAGAGGAAGAGAAAATAGGAAGACATCTCTTCAGATGAAGTTAGAGCTCCCGTTGGCTCATCCCTGAAAGCCAAGGAAAGCCAGATAACTAAGGTCAGTAAAAATCAACTAGTTCTACACAGTCACAACAACCAAGGAGCCCAGATCTTGTATGAGCCCTAAATATAGGCATAAGGTGACTTTTCTCCCCATTTCTCATTTTTCCCCTTCTCAGGAACTTATGTAGGGTAAGCTATAAACTTAGCTTTCTCTTAAAAAAGAGAAGAAAATGTTTTCATCTTTTATGTGCTTATGTAGTTAAGAAACATATAGTTTAATGGGAGATTTAGTCTTTTATGCTTGCTGATCAGAAAAGTGCATTGTCAGATAATCATATGAAAGGAGTAACTGTGTTTTGATTGTCTTTGACACTGTGCATATTTCCATACTTCACAAGCATTTACATTTCCTTATGTATTATGTACAGTATAGCTTAAACTGCCTGTTTATAACTGCCAAGCACAAACAAAATAAATTTGAAAAATGCATTTTCTAGTCAATTTTATTTAAGAGAGGGAAGTCATCATTTTCTGGAAAAGTCGACAGTTACCCTCTTTCTACCGTGGCTCCTGCCAGTTTAAATTTTCAAATGTATTTTATACTGTCAGAGGTGAAGTGAGTTATCAATGGAAAGTCCCCCTCCCCTTGACTCAAGGGTTGCAAAAGTTTAAACAAATACAGTAAAAATACAGCATTAACCACTGAATTATATACATAAAAAAAAAGTCAGCTGATTGCCTTGGAGACTGAAGTCCCCAGATGTATTAAATACTTAATACTGCATAGAAAACAGAAGTAGAAAAGTGTTGTGGAGACCCTAGCAGCGTGTATCAAATCTGACTGGGAGAACAGCTATTAAGGAAAATGAGAATGGTTTTGTCTTCTGTGCCCTCCAAGTCCACAGCCTTTTTCTTGTACAGCCAGCTGTGGGGATCATCAATTCCAACTGCAGAAAGGGTTCAGTGTGTTGTAACCCAGCCTTTAGTTTTTAAAAATACTTAACTGACCTAATCGGAAATACAAACTCATTCTGAAAGAGTTTAAGGTCAAGCTTACTTGCTGGTAAGAGAAGTGCAAAAATGCACTTGCCCTTAGCTATTGTACTATATTTCATGTTACTCACAGAGGATTTCTAATACCACCTGTCAGCTAAAAATGATATTCTGAATATATAATCCACAGCGTATTTGCTCTTAAAACAATTAATACTTCTCAATTTGGTGAATACAAGGCCTTTTTAAAAGCCTATGAAAAGGATTTCTCCTTGCCTCTAGAAAAAGAAAAGCAAAGGAATCAAAACTGATTCCTAGTTTCTAATTTTAGTCCTAGGCAGCCTCTTTTTCCTACTTACTTCAAAAAAGGGAGCTCAAATCAATTACTGGAATTTCAGTTAAACTAATAGGAGATAGGCTTTGCACGTCTCAAAATCAGCCTTGATTCAGCCTTGGATAGTGGCAATCCTAGAACTGTGATACAAAAGCACACTTTCACAGGCCTCTGTGGATGTGGTAATGCTTCCTTCTAATTTAGAAATGACTGGCCATGCACAGCTGCACCAAAAGGCATTCAGCTATTGGGGCAGAGTATGCTGCCTTTGCACCCATTCCCTTTTCCTCTGAGCCAGCAAAAGTGGCCTGCAAGGCGAATCTGATATGTACGTCGCCAGCTGGATTATTCCTAAGAAATGCCTTTCTGACCTTCCAAAAACACCCAAGAGAAAGTTGTCCTTCTCTATCTTTGCCTTTCTCTTTCTTCCTGCTACTCAATCCTATTTTCTTGAAATTAAACAGACAGCCCTTTTCCTAGCTGATATTAAAAAATATTGATTCCCATCCTTTAACATTACACCGTTACACTTGGGAAAATTTAATTTTCCCCCTTTTCCTTGTTTTCTTTTCGAAAATAACCAGCCCTCATCCCTCCTATCTTTATTCCTAACCCTCTGATTCTTGTCATTCTTTTCTGGATTCTCCCCATTTATTACATCTAACTCAAGAGTGGTACCCTATAATGAATACAGTATTCCACTTAAGACCTCTCCAGCATCAAGCAGAACAGAGCTTCATATATAATGATCCTTGTAACACTTCTCAGGGTGAACAAATCAGATGATTAACTCCATTGTTACTGCAGTTCATGAAAACTTTCAGAGCAGTGGCCACACTGAGGTCTGAATCCACAGCAGAGCCAAATTTTCTCCAATGTCAGTTCTTAAATAGGAGTTTTTTGTTTCAGACTCCTCTCTTTTTATCAACAAAACAGAAATGAAAGACTAAACAGGATTAAGATTAAAATCAATACTAAAATGACTGCATTCATGAAAACAGTTTTCCCCTCCTTATTCTACTGTTAAAGAAGATAACCAATAAAGAAAAAAAAAAAATCTCTAATCCTACAAACGCCCAATCATGATGGCTTTTGGACACTTCTCTTGTTTAATACAGGGAAGCATAGCGGTACATGAGCACGCATGCAGTATCTACGAAGACAAGAGAGCTGAGATCTGATTAGAAATGTATTTTCTGCTTCTTGCTTTTTGTTTACAAACAACATGAAGTGAGAAGTGGAAGAGACAGCTGGGTTATTTAAGGCTGATTAAATTGCTGACTCTACAAACAGTGAAATTTGTACACTAGCTACTTTGTAATTGACAAGGGGAACAGAAAGCTAGGCTCTCAAGAGGCAGCACCCAGAAGCTGGAGAATGATGACAAATGGGACACCTGTCTGAATTCATAGAACAGTAAGACAGACCTGCAGTAAGCTGATGTTCCTGTAAGCGTCTGGCTGCTCTTCAGACTTTTGCTGTGACATACAGCTGCATGAGTCCAGGTAAGTCCTGGGGTTTTAGATTGCAGAGTTCAAATTCTGATTTACCAATATCTTAATAGAATGGGGAAAGTGTACTGAAAAGCAGTGGAGACAAACTAAGTTTTCTTATTGATCTATTCACAGACAGTTTATACAACGTAGATTTCATTTACGGGCAAACTTCTTGTACTATTTTATCATTTTCTGAGTTGCAGCTTCTACTCTGAACTCTATTTTACATTACCATTTTGCAACAGATTAGTGAACGCAATAGTGCAATACTGTTAATGGGTAATAACGCTCACCCTGGCATTCTGTGTTGCAGTAACTGCACAGTCACCTAAACTATCATCTGAATGACCAAGATTTAACATTTTCAAAATGGCTTGAGTCATATTAAGTTACACAACCAAAGCCTGTATTTACATTTGAAAATATCTGGGGAACAAATTGTGAAATTTGATGGCCTCATTGGCAAGTACTTTAGACTGCTTGTGATGAATGGCTAAGGGAGTGGCTATAGATCTTTTCTGTTTGCGACAGTTAATGCTATGCCAAAACTGTGAGTAAATATACGGCCCAGTTTTCTTTGCATTTTTAAAGCTTTTATCTGTTCCAGTCATCTACTCTAAAAAAACATGGAAATCCTGTTGTTTTACATATATAGTATGATGAATTCCTATTTTTGGGCACAGAAAAAGTAAAGGGTGAAAATACTTTGATTAAAACACCAACAGAAAGTAGAATGAATCAGTCATTTACCATTTGCTTTAATGAAATATAATCAGCTGAGCTATGAAGATATGGTGTGTGATAATAGCTGGAAGAAAAGTGTTGATAAGGGCTTAGCAAGTCTTATTTCTAAAGGTGATGAAAAGCTGGTTGTTCAAAAGATGAAGCAATGTGGGCAAAAAGCCCTTCCATAAGCTGCAAGAAAGCAATGAGAAAAAAGGAGAGAGATGAGTAGGAAAGAACAGAAAGTTTCCATCTTCCTTTCCACTGGAATGCACTGTCATCATGTATCTTTTCTTTAATGCATCCATATGAACTAAACTTCCATCACGTTTATAGGGACACGACAGGTTTCTTTATATCCTGCCATTTCAATTTTCTCACCCCTGTCCCACCCCCATCCCTAAGAAGCAAGATTTTAATGTTTCAGAGCTTCTAAAAACTGTTCTGCGTTAGCTTTTATTTTTCCTTTATGAGTCCAGTAGCCTACTGTGCCATCAGCTGACTTCCACTTTACCAGCAGGGAATCTCATTTCCACTCTGTCCTATGCATTTTACAGGGCATCAGTGAACTTAAAGTAAGACGAATATTGTGGGAAATTAATTTACAAGTGCCGAAAATGAGAAACACAGAAGATCACAAAGGCTGCACCATCTGTGCGACTTTGTTGTATTGCACAGAGGGACAACGGCAAATGAAATTCGGTGTAGAATGAAAACTTGCTAATCCCAAATTCATAGCTTGTTCTTGGCACAACCTTGTTTTCCAAGGAGGCCAGTTTGATCTCTGATTGACCTCATTTTCTTGATCTGGCCTTGAAATAGAGCTTTGACTTTTTAATGATGTGCCAAAATACTGAATTCTACGCTGCTGTGACTGAACTTGGAATGGGCTAAAAGTTTAACGTACATAGCTTTATTTTGATCTGAAGCATGAAGTTCTGGGATGACCTTTAATAACACTTCTGCCAAGAAGCTCCATTAGGAAACTGAATTACCAAACACCACCTTAGCAGACTGTGACAAACCAAACATAACTAGAAAATAATTGTCAGCTGCAACTAGGAAACTGTCAGCCAAATTCAGCCCAATACTATTTACTTCTCCATTGCTCTATTTTATACTTGGGACAGGAACCTTAGCAGAAATCCTGATCTTTTACTGCTGGGAAGAACTTCTGCTGCCCTGTAGCAATCAAAGCAATAAATTTTAACAGCTCCTATTGAGCTGTTTGCACCTTTGCAATTCCTGTTATCCTGCCTGAACTGCATTGCAACATGTGCCCGTGCCCAGAACACACATGCTGCAGGCCATAACCCTGCTGTTTTTTCTGTCTGCATTGTTCCGTGTGGACTCTGAATCATGATTTCTATGTCTTAGGACATCTATGGTGTTGTACAGTAATTTCCTTGAGAATATAAGACTGAAAGTGGAAGTTTACATTACTGACACAGTAATTATCTTGTCTATTACTCATTCTGAGTAATCATTTAAAAAAAACAAAACTAAAACCAACACGAGATCGCTGTCATATCCCTGCCTAATTCAGTCTGTGTAGGGATCCTAAGAACTGAACTTGTCCAATGCACTTTGTACAAAAAGCTGGTGCTCTCTGCTGCTTTTGCTTTAGTGTAACCTTTCCACCACATATTTGGAATTACTGATAAGACTGTGGTTTCAGGAGAATGTTTATCCATATTGTCCCAGATCTACCAACTACTTAGAAGATGGTGCTGCACTTAGTGAAGGAAAAATACCTCAGGGACTGGAATTTTATGGAAACTTTTTTTCTGTTTCTTCCATTTGGAAAAGTAGTTTTCTGATCACAACTTATTTGCTGTTTTTATTCATAATGTTTCAGTCAAAATAATTTCCACACGGCTTCCTGCAACTTCTTTGCACAGGATGTTTACTAGCAGATTAGGTGAAACAAAAAGCACAATACAGTGCTTTGAAACAACACACCCCTATAAACAATGTTTCCTCTAATATCCATACCAACAGAACAAGTTGTGCTCGTTCTTCACCACATTTATCAGAGCATCTTTTGCTGGTGATACCACCAGAATGTAAAGGTGCAGTGGTACATTTATCTGCACAGAAGGCTTGTTATTCTAAATTTAATTCAGTGGTAGTCAAATGGTTAAAGCTTGATTTTTAACAGTGCTTCTGTAATTCTTTTGGAGATACAGTATTAAAACATAATTTTTTTTACTTATGCATTAAGACTTAACACCATTTGGGGGTGAATCCCTTGTTTTCTATGAAGAGAATAATAATTAAAAAATCCCATTATCACATTTTTCTCAAATCTAATATTAAAATCATAGAATTTAAGAAGTGTCTGAATTGTTAGCCAGTGTTGCCTGGGTAGTTCTACAAAACTCAAAAGAGCTACATAAATTTACACTGTCTGAAGATGTGGCTCCATATACACTTTCAAAGTTTATTTCTATGACTTGATCAAAAATAACAGGAAGACTGTATCTTGCATTCAGTAGGCACACCAGTAGTTTTAATCTCACTATTTTTGCCATCCTGTTTTGGGGACAAGGGATTTAAAACGGCAGGAATACATAGCTTATTTGCTGGAGGTAGATGATCATGTAATTTGGCTCACATGAGAAGTACTCATGATACTAAAACTGGTATACTTGTTAAAGCCAAATTCCCCCAATCTCTGTGTAATGTAGTAGCCATCCTTTGTTATGAGATTTTGTACAAATCTGATCATGGACTGACGACTTGTAAGTCAAAGATCAACTTGGGGCAAATGTTAAGACAAAGTTGAAAATTACTACAACTGATTTTTTGGGGGGGTGAGTGGGGGGTGATGTGAATCCTGTAACCACAGTTTAAACAGTGCTGTATAATTCAATATATTAGCATAGAGAAGGCAGTAATAAAAATATGCACCAAAGCAGCACACAACTCATGAGAACCCAACTTAGCTGAATGCATAGTACTTAAGATATGTGAAAGAGAGAATGAAAAGACAGCAGCAGTCCCATGTGCTGGTCCTGCTTGGCTTTTAAAGAAACCAGAGAACATGTAGTGAGAGTATCTTCCTGGATCTTCCTATATCACATTAAGTGCTAGGGAGGGTGTTTTCAAGAGTAACTTTTCCTGTCATCCTAACAGCACAACAGCTCATGGTGACCTCCAGCTCAAGGATATTTTGTCAGTACTTCGCCCCCTCTCAAGACCATTACACCTATTATGCTGCAATAAATTTTGTTAGACTGAGAACTGTTTTTAAGACACCTGAATTACGAGAGGAAAAAAAATATAGCATGTATTTGACCATGCTACATTGCTGTTCTTTCTTCTCACTGGCTTTCTACCAGAGAACCATATTATAGTGGGACAATAGATAAGAAAACAACTACATAGGTCTTGCCTGTCAGGAATACTTTAAGGGCACATCCATACTGTGCAAAGAGGAATCACGTTAGCGATAAACTAAACCTGCCTATATTGGAATATACCACTTTGGATCCTAAAAGCAACCATTTTTGCATCATTGTTTTAAAACCAAAAATCCCCAAACTGAGTAATGCCAGACCGTTGATTCTGCAACCAGAGTAGATTGCCAGATACATTCATGGTCTGGCTCTTGGCTGTTTTGTACCACTGGACATGGCATCCACAAGACATCCATATTTCATTTCACATCTTTTCAAAAAGAGGTCCTTGATAACTAACAAAATATAAATGGTTATGCCCACAAATCTGCCTTAAAAAGAGGCCTTTTCAAGTTTCAGAAGAACATATCAGTTGCACCAGTCTTACCTTTTACTGTTTTATATCTTTCTTGTAAACAATCATGCAGGAATGGTAACAACATTTTGTTCTTGTAAAGCACCACCCTTCTGAGAATGTCAACATGCTCTATAAGGAATAATCAATCAGGCCTCACACACCTGTGTTAGGTAATAAATGTTTTATCTCAGTTTCAACAAGGAGTCGTCAGAAGTTCAGTCATTTACTCAGGATCACACAGGACAGAGCTATGAGTCTCAGCTGTCCTTCTCACTATCATCCTACCAGATAAACATTGAGAATTTTAGAGATACAGTGCTTGGAAAGTATTACCTACATAAAAGTCCATAAAGTAACAACATCTAGTGAGACAAACTGCCAACTATTCATTAATACATTAGCAGTAAATCTAATAAATCTTATTTCTTTATGTGTTAGCTGAAGGATGAACTAAACACAAATCAATTGTCTGTTTAGTAAAAGGCCACAAAACTAACACTGACAAGTTCCACTTTTTTTTAGTATAGCTTATAAGGCAACACTGATGGCTAGACAGAGCTTTTGAAAGGCTGGTAATGAACACTGGTGAAAATATAAGACCTTGTATGGAAACATAAAAGATATATTAGCCTAGAATTTACATTTAAAATTATATGGCTCTGAACTCTGAAAACTTTGAAATCTTTCCTAACAAGAGTGATTATTTAGTATCATCTGCGTGCAGGTAACTTTAGGATTTTGTTATTGCAAGTTCCCAAAAAACTGCTGACACACGTTAAAATAATACAGCTTTTTCTTCACTATTTCACTAAAAATGACCATGGTAAAGACTGAGTTGTACTGATTTTGTTCTAATAATTTTGGAGCTGCAATAAAAACAGATGAAACCTCAACAGCAAATACCAATGCCATGCAAGGGAAGAGACTGTGTCTTGGGAATCTTAGTTTTCACACAGTGCTGCTGCAATCAGCACACAGTTACATTTGTAGGACCTATCACTACTGGGTGTGTTGCAGATTATGGTTATTGTTGTTACATTTTGTCACTGATGTCTAGGATTACCGTTTTTCATGTCCTTCTTACCTTGACTGCGTAATTGTTGAGAGGATCTTTTGCGTAAGAAGCTGGGTAGTAAACTGCATCACCTGCCTCGCAGCACGGCTTGTCACTGGTTAGCCTGAAATCCGACCAGCTGTCCACCCCGAATCGCAACTGGTCCTTCTGTCCGGCCATGAATAAGTCTTCACATTTAAGTGCCAGCTTCTTCAGTGAATCAGTATGAAGGCTTCGGATTTTACCTACCACCTCCTCTCGGTTTTCAATTCCTCGATAAAGTGCTTGCCTCTGCGGCTTCTGGACACCTTTGCCCTGCTTAGTCTGCGAGATGCGTCTCCCCGTTAGAGACTCCATGCTATTGGAACACCGGTCCTTAATACTGATAGTGGTTAGGCTGGAAACGCTGTTAGTTGCTGAGGTGGTTGCCCTTTGTTTTTCTGTAGGCCTGTCCAAGGAATCTCCTGACTCGTTGTCCAGTACCTTGAGCTCCAGGCTGACCGAAGAGCAGGCGCTGCTTGCTTCCCAGTTGGTGTCAATGTCATAGGTGGGATTGGCCACAATGCACAGGTTGTTCTCCAGAGCCTGCTTCTGGAGATCTCTGGGCGTTGGCTCTGTGTTAGCTCTCAAAATTGTTTTCTTTGGCAGTGGAGGTGGTGTTGGCTGTAAGTTGTTCATTGTCTCTTGGTCTACTAGTCCTCCAAAGGCAATGGCATCATCCAAAGCTCCCTTCGGTTGCCTCGGCTGTTTTGGAGGTATCATGGCTGCTCTAGACTGTCCTGTGTAACAAGAAGAAAATAGTAATAGGAGATTAAAGTACTTTGCATCTGCTGCTCATATTTGCACTCTACAAAGAAGTTTAAGGCAAAGAGAAAAGAAAAGCTGACTAGGACACCCCTCGCCCCCCATCACATACAGACAGTCTTTATTTGACCTTGGCCTATATATTAAAATCAGCTGCACTGCTAGCAATGCTGGCATTTTACATCACATGGGATTAATGACAAAAAGTGCAAGCAAAAACCAAAACTCAATTTTGGCACTCTGGCCAAATTCTAGTTTCAGTAATTAAACACAGCCTCCTGTAATTCCTTCTGTGGTCAATCAACTATAATATCATTCCTTACTTCCTATTCAAATGTGCTGAAACTATGGGTGGATGCTGGTAAGTGGCATTGTGTACCGTTTCTCTGAGAGGTGCATTTCTCTGGCAGGTGAGGTGATCATTTTTAGTATGTCCTTACAATAGTCTGTAAAGCACTTTGGATCACTTGCATTTGAAATGGACTAAAGAGACTTGAAAGCATTATTTTCAGAATGTAAACCAGAAAACTTCAGACACAAATAATGTAATTTAGATAATTTTAGACAGATCGGAAAGTCAGGATTGCCCTAGCAGATTCACTAGGTGAAACAAGGAAGTTAAGCCTACTTTCACTCAAGCTGACCAGTGTGTTGCCACTGCTTTCAAGGAGAGCAGGATCATATTTTGAGATAACAAAAACATAAATATAAATATTTCTACCCTACAATTTAAAACTCACACTCTTCCCCCCCTAACCATAACTTTCTCTAATACCTTTCCCTTACTCACTTGCCATGGGTAGCTTTGTTGGCAATATTATGTTCACAGATAACCTGACCTAGATTCAGTCAAGAAATTCCAAATGGCAGGTTACATCCATAAAAGCATGGGATTTCCACTGGCAGACTGGTTTCAAACATTCATGTGCTTCTAGGGAAGATAAACTTTGTCATGTGTTTTGGATGGCTTTTAGAGAGGACAATTATGTTTTATAACTGCCAGAGTCCTTGGAAATGAAGAATAAATAAATGACAATAATGTAAGAGAGAATAAAAAACAATAAACAGATGATACAAATGACCAACCCCCTGCTCTGAGACAATTAAACAGTTGTTACTCATATCAAAATGAGGTTTTTCCACTCAACTGCTGTTTTCAGAGAAATTTTAAGTTTTCTACTACTCCTGTGAGGTTCATTGACTGTCATGGTAAGGTAGGAAGCCAATTTTTACAGCTGCAACACAGCAGACATGAAAGGGATGCTCTGTATAATTGCAGCCGGGCATCTTTTCTAATAAGCAAACAGCAAGTAGAAAGACACTACAACTATTTGACTATTTATAATGTGCTGAATCCTTGTAAAGAGAGGACTGAACCGGAACGCTGAACCAAACTGGGGGGATCTCAGATTCAGATTTGAATTACATCACTTTGGTCCATAATTAATAATAAAAGACTTCATAGTCTATTAAAAGAAAAAAGATAGCTTCCTTTATGCTTTAAGATGTGTTGTACAGTTTTTATGAATACCACAGAATCTAATCTCTTGGCCAGGATGTACAAAAACCTGGAACGCTGGGTTAGGATGCTGAAGAGGATTTCCTAATATCAGAAGATCAGAGAGAACTGGATTTTTAAATGTATCCACAAACAGAATAGCCTTAGCTCTTGAATTCTTAACAATCATCCTCTTGTCAATCATTCCAAGGAGATGACATCACAAATAAAAGTTATCTCTCTATCTTTCATTTAAGTTCAAGAAACCCTCAGACGAGCCTCGTGGATTTTGTGGCCTGGATATTCCAATGTTTAAAAAGCTGAATTTTGCGCAGGAAGTTCCATTGGCTTTGTAACATGCCTGATGGTCAGGGAAGATTGCATAGAACTACCCCCCTGGGTCATCACTTTTTAGCTTCTACAAAATGAAAATTTTCAAAAGCTAGAAATATTAGAGAACCCCTGCATCTCTCAAATCACTGTCAAGGTGGCTTAAAAAAAATTAACCCTCAGGGAACCCTCTACTGCTCCTTTCTGATGTTGGTATTGCAGCGGGCGTGCTCTACAACAGCAGCTCTTCCTCTCACCATTTGATACACCGGAGCATATAACACTGGTGCCAGCTGAGCAGTACAGGAACTCTATCAGAAAGGTACAGAGACTACCTTTTGCAGAGACGAAGAGTGGCATGATTCCGAGTAAAAAGCAGAATTAATGTCTGCATGCCAGACACACACATCCAGATGCCACAGTCTTCTGCTTGATCCTGAATGAGACAAGTTCACTTCTTCTTTGTATCCAGTTTTCTTACTCATCCAAACATGTGTCATCTTCCACCATTGCTTACTCTTACAAAATCTGTGACCTGTGTACTTCTCCCCCTGGCAACATTCTGTGTTAAAGATCACTTGCTGTTTTCTCATTCTTCCCCTCTTCCCCACTACGCTAAAATAGCCCAACTGCTGGGGTTTTGAGAAAGGCTACTATTTCAGGAGGCAGTTTCCTAATATGCATTGCTTGTGCAACTCGCTAATCCAAGGACTGCACACATGCTACAGGGAAACAGCAAGAAAAGAAATTAGAGCAAGATGCACATCTCAAGCAGTAGCAGCAGAAGCCCTCTCCAAGAAAGGTAAGATTTGTAACAGCATTTGTAACAGCATTTCTTCTTGATTCTCTTATTTTCTGTCTGTTTTAATGGCCCTGTCCTCCAGAAGCCATTCATACGGAGAAGAGTGTTGCGACTGCAACCAGTGACTTTCACTAGTCATTTCTTTTGCATAGCTATTGGAACTGTGACATCAAAACATAATTGAAGAAGGTTTTCATAACCAGAAGTTGCCTTTGCAGATGTCTGGTGGGTGTGGCAGGATCCAGAGAACTGCATGTACAAGTCATGATACAGTTACTTTTTCAAATATACTCAGCTGAGGAAAATGAGTTCGTAAAACATGTCATGGTACAGCATAGTTTCTCCCCACAAGAACAGATTTTCCATATTGAAATCTATCCATCTGTATTACATGTTTGAAAAGCTTCTTTTCTTAACACTATACATTTCTTTCATGCCCGCTGGGCCAGTCTTTCCAGCTCAGCTTTCCCCAAGTGTGGCGTGATACTGCACATCCCACATTTTTTAAAATTCATTGTCAAGCAAGAAAAAGGTTGTCTTAAATTTTGTCCCTGTCAAAGGCACAAGAACGTTCTTTTGCATACAAGTACTGGCAGAGCATTTGCTTCTTTTTCTTGCCTATCATTTCCTTCTCCCCTTGCATGCTTAAAACCCATCATTTCCTTACCTACGCCACAGACTCTCCAACATTACAAGGTTCAGACTGAGCTACGCTCTTGGGAGGCAAATGAAAAGGATGAACAGGCACAATACTAGGCTACCACTTACAGAGAGCTTTGAAGTGGCTTCCAGACTGTTCAAGACAGGAAGAAAATTAACTCTTTATAGACAGCAGCTTTCTAGAGAGCTTTAAGTAATTCTACAGTTCAGGAACATCTTACATTATAGAATCTCACTGCATTATTTAAATATTACCATGCAGAGGTGGGAAACTCTGAATCAGCCCTAAAAAAGGCATTTAGATTTTATTTTTCCAGGTAACTGATTTATCATCAGACTTCGCATTGCAACCTGTTTATGTTAGCTCATGAAACTATCAAATCTGACACACTGAGCTCAGGTTTAATTCAAATTTATATTGCACAAGCATGTTTTTCTTAGAGTAATGACAGGCATAATTATTGTTTAAAATTCTTGATAGTTGATGGATCTTCCTTTTTTGCTTAGGCCAGATCAGCAGTATACATTGTCAAGACATTTCAGAACTGTGAAGGAAAATACTCCTTTAATTGGGAAAACAACTAATGGTGAATTAGGCAAGCCAAGTGGGTGACACGCTGCATGCTTCCATCCTTTCTTGAATAGAACTATTCCCAAGACGTATACTGCTCTGCAATACATAACATATGTTAGTCCAATGCACCAATGACAGCAGGCTGCTTCTGTACTTTCTCCAAACTCATTTTACCCTTGACATGGTAATCTATCCTACCATCTCCTTCATTCTTGAAAGCGTTTTTCTGATGATATGCTGTACCATCTCTTATCCAATACTAACGTTCCTTGTGGGAAGATGTAAATTAGAAAACAGAGCTGAAAACAATACTTTAGTATTCACAGTAATAACTAGGCTATTGCCACGATAACTCACTCTGTTCTCAGTTTTAGTGACCATAGTACTCCTTAATCCCTAGTCCCCTAGTGCAGGGATTTAGACGAAGAGGACCCAGAGGGCTAAAATGACCAAAACTACTCTTGCCCCTGCCATTCACCCACTTATCACATCAGTTTGGCAAAAATTCCATGTTTTGCATTGCCAAGAACAGCAAAAATTAATAATCATGCATGTACAATGTGGGTAACCAATCTTCCAAGACCATATCTATCAAAACCCCAGCAGAACTAAAATCAAAACTGAGGAGACTCTGCAGTGGAGACCAGCAAGAAAGTGGGATTTTGAGTGGCTTTTACGTGTCTGCAGGAAACCCACTGTAATATAGGGCTGGGCTGATCACATAGCTGGACCTTGGAGCAATCCAACAGCGCTGGCTTTGGCAGCCTCTGCTGACCTGTTTCTCCCCACAGCCAGGAATGGAGTAGGATGTCCCAGCAATTCTCATGTCAGTACATCCCCATTTCATGTTACAAAATCCAGTTATAAAGCCTAACTAAAGTATTCACTAAGTAAAATCCACGGGTTGGCCACCTCCACTGTACAAATTCCCCCTCTCCACCCTGGTCCTAGTACTTCCCCCCTGCCCCCTGTACTTGGATATTGACCATCCTTTGCTGCATTTTTATTACAACACAAAGCCTGGAAAAGATTTCCCTGCATAAGTAGCAGATTAATTATACTGATCTTTAATACCAGTACAAAATACATCACTCCTTAATAAACTTTTACCCCGACTGATAAAAATAACCAAGCCGTGAAAAAACCCATAAATGCGTAAAAGTATCTTCCAGCCACTGCAAAAGCCACCAGCATACTTCACAGCCCCAATTCCAACAAATGCAGTACATGTACAACACTATTCTGTAAAATTATTCAGTACGCAGATTTACATGAACATAATCATTAATGCTGTATTATACTCAATTGTTTACACATTTATCGTTAATAGATAAAGATCTTACCAGAATGATAATATATGTAACAGAAAGGAAAGCAAACATTTATTAAGTAACATTCATGACGCATCTCCAGTTTCTCACCAATAGTTTGAAACTGTGCATAGAACTACAGTAAGATGGGCTGCAGGTACCAGATAAATAAAAACTTCAGATGCAACAGCTTGTCTGCCTTGGTGACTTGTCAGGTCTTGCTACCCATCCTCCATTACACCATGTTAAAGGTATTACCTGTACTAATTATATATTATACAAAATGCATCAGACTGATACTGTAATCACAGTCTGTTGCTGAACTGTCAGTTTTAGTCAACAATGACTTCATTACCTTATTTATAGCCTGGCTAAAGCACGCTGCCCTGGTCTAACTTACTGACTGAGGCAATACTCCAAGGCAGATGCTGGCATCTGGCATTTTTTCCACTGTCAGCAATCACAAAACCTAGAAACTTACTTAGCCTCCTTTTTTTCACCTTTTCTTTGGGTGTAAGGAGAAAAATAGCTGATAATAAAATAACCTTTTTAAATTATAGAAATACTATAGTGAGTATATAAGGATATCTTAATCTACTTAGAGCAATGCAAATTCAGTCAAGTCAATTTCCCCCAAAAAATTCAGACAAAGATAGAAAAATGTGAACATTTGTAAAGGAAAGGATTTTAATGATCCATCTGTTGTCTTCTTTATCATAAGTTACAGGTCTTACCTGAATTAACTGCTTTTAGAATAAGGGCACACCTTAAAAAAGAAACAACCAGGCGCTACCTTACACATCTGAACATTTATTTCTGCATCTGGATTTAACTGTCAGCCACTGGATTTTGTTAAACCTGTTGACTGTTGATACCAGAAGTATCCCTCATCACAGTTCTGCTCAGCACATTAGCACCCACACCATGATCAAGCCAGACTATTTCTTTGATAAGCTAAACAGATTTAGCTTCTTGAATTAGTCAATATAAGGTACCTGTCACAATATTAGGCATTTTCAAAGCTTTTCTTTAGAGCCTGTACCTTTTTCTTTTAAACATTCTTCTTAAACTGTGGTGACCAGGGCTTGACTGTGGCCATGGCAGTTGCAGAGTAAAAATGAGATACGCATCACCTCTCTACTCCTAATGAAGTTTTCTCTTGTTTATACACCCAGGAACATACTGGGCTCTTTTAGCTTATCATCATGGTGGGACCTCAAGCCCCAAATCTTTTATGTGGTATCTGATCCTCAGAGAAGAATCCTCTACCTTGTAAGGCTTGCCTGCATTTTTTTTTTTTTTAATTCCTAGATGTATGATTTTACATGAGCTATTCTCAGATTTTGCAATTTGGTTCCTGACAAACACTTGCTGGTGCACTTGCAGTTTTTGCAGGCAGAACTGTAAACTGATGACCAGACAACTCCTGTGGGAGCAGGGGAAGGCCAATACCAAATATATTTGAAGGCACTACCTGATACAAACTACTATCTGACTGCACATGAAAATTTACCAAAGCTTGCCATTATTTCTGCTCATAAAATTTCATGTGACATGTCACAACTGAAGGGTAGACATTTATAAAAGTAAGGACATAGCATTATCTGCTTTTCAATAAAAAAACCCAAAGAATATGTATTAGATTCATATTTTAAAAGTTAATATTGTGCATTATGCTGCAAATTGTGATGTTCACATGATATATTTTACAAACCATAAACTATAGTATGTAGCTATAAAAAGGTAACTGTAGATACAATTGCAGCTGAAGCAAGAGTGAAGTGTGATGTAATTATATTACACATATTCTCATATTATCCTTTCTTTCAGTTACACATATCAGTGTTTGTTAATTCTATAAAATATATGGTTTTGCTGCTTAGGTGATGCAAGATGTGAAAACAAGAAGGAATTATTCTATAACCCCACCTAGTAATCTCTTGATAGCTATCTGAATTAGAAAGTGAAGTTGCTTGAATAAACCAGAAAAAAGTTTGAACGGCAGCCAGAGAACTCAGTGCCATTTAGGGTAGTGTTGCTTTTAACAACAAGCAGCAAGCTTGCCAAGCCAGACCAAGTCAAGCCTAAAACTTAATTTAACTCTTTCATACCTAAAATTTACTTTGGTGACAGCAAATCTGAAAATGACCCAAGGACGAGAAGATTTTGAATGAAATGCTAAAGGGGTCAGTTTTATACTGTTCTACGAAGGAGCACTCACACACAGAAACAACACTGACAGAAATGAGGACTCATGGAAGTGATCACAGAAGTCTCCACAGATGGAGACTCCACAACTTCTCTGGGCAACCTGTTCCAGTCTTTAATGGTATTTTATTGCATTTCCCATTGAATTTACTACTTCCACTTTGTGAAATGCTGTGGGAAGGACAGAGATCTATGGACAGAAGCACATCTAACTCTGTATGAGGAAGCAGTTGCCATCTGATGTAACACCTTGCAAAAGAAAATCAACCCAAATTGAGTAAAGATTTAAACAGAATATTCACAATGTCATTACTTTGGCTATGAAATGCAAGTAACCCCTCGACAGTATGAGCACTCTGGCTAAAAAATAGCAGTCTTGCCATGGGGGATAAGTGACATTTCATACGTTAAATGATACCTCAGCTTGATCCTTTTATGTGTCAGTCTGGTTAGGAACAAGGACTAACCATGCTATAAACAGTTTTGATGTAGCCAGATCTACTGCCTGGATTCTTTCTGTAATGTAGCTATGTCCTAAATACAGAAAATATATAAATACTGATGTTTATCTCAATGAATTGAAAATAATTCATTAGATCTTTGAATAATTCACCATAAAAATATAAATTTTAGTTTTCCTCCTTGAAGTTAAAGTTTTTTTTGTAGATGTTATATCGCTCTTGGGCAGGATATTTTTCCTCCTTGTGGTTTATAAACAATACCTACTTGATGTTTCATTAGCAGAACACACCGAGAAGTTCACCACTAATTCACATTTAAGCAAAAAAATGCAACAATATCACTAAATGTCTACGGAATGTATGCATCTGAGGGCTTAAAATTTAGTCCTTGATCCCTCAAACCTGTCTGGACATGCCACACCCATGGACTTCTGAGCCATCTCACAGCAGTCAGTTTCCTCTTGTGCAAATGCTTAACAAGTTGGCATCCTTACAGGATTGTAGCGTTACTGAAAAAAACACATTCAGATATTCTTGAACATAAATAAATGAGAGATTTTTTGTTCTTCTGGAAAATCTGGCTGTAGGTATTGCTAAATTCACAGTACTTCAAATCAAAATGCTTTAGAAAATTAGGCTGGTAATATTGATACTATGGATCGGGAGACGCTTGTCTTGCTCACTTATCTTCCAGAGAAGCCCTGCATCCATGCATCTTCTTGATTTGAGTAAGGGATTCAGTGATAGTTGAATAGGCTGTGCAGTACCTTCAGGACGTTCATCTCAAACTTTTTTGAAGGAGCAAAAGTAAACTCTCAGATGAGGATAAGAAAGGTTTTAGTCAACAAAAGATGACTACAAATATTTTAGCAGTTATTGATGCTCTAGAGTAAAAAGTCCTACCTTTTGTTGATGTTTGAAAAATACTGAAATCTACTTATTGTTTCTAAGAAAATTAGGTAATTTGATCTGTATTTTAAACCTCTTTGATAAAAATTCTTCCAAATAGATAAACCAATGTATTTTAAAAGTGTCTGAGACGTTTATCATTAAGGGCAATTAAAAGATAGTTTTAAAATGATAGGAAAGAGAACCTTTGAGTTTGTTGAATCTTCACTTTCTTGGTTGTGTAACTCTGAATGAGACAACATATTTTTATTTTCTATAAATTAATATTTAAAAGTTTGTCTTTAAAAACTAATCTTATGAAAGCATATTGAGCTTTTCAGAAGACAAGGTTCTTCACAGCCTGGAAAGGTATCCAAAATCTGTTCTAATTTAAATTTTCTTCTACCAGAATACACTTACCTAAATTGCTGTACGTAGCACTGCAAGGATTTAAGTCAGGAGAATTCGAAGCTTCGTCCTTTTCTTCCTCCCCCTGTGGGACACGGACAGATGATACTGGTATGACCGAGGCACTGCCGCCATTGTCCTGCTTCACAAACATAGCTCTAGCAACATCATCGGGCACTTGACTGAAACAAACAAAACAAAATCACCTGGAGACCAAAGCTGGGGACTAGATCCTACTGGCAAAATACCAGATTAGGCATTAAATATCTTCAGGAAAGGGAATGGACTGGTAAAGAAATAAGCTCCTTTCACCCTCCTTTTTTTAAGAACAACTTTCTACAGTATTTGTTTTCCTTAATAAGAAGAAACAACTTTTGACTGAAATAGTAACATGTAGTAGTTCATGCCTTTCATACAAAAGGGATGAAAAAATGTTTTACAGCTGACTACAATTGACATTTATGCATACATATGCAGGCATGATTCTGCATAAAATGTGCAGGACTCAGGAGTTTAAGGTGCTTTTTACCAATCAGAACAATTTTGCTTTAATCAAAGACACCAAGGTATGGCAAGGGGGTTGTTAAGTCTTAATAAATGCATAGAACACTAATGATACGTTTCCAAGCTGATGTGGACTCAGACCCAGCTGAAACTCTGATCTCCTCCTGGTAGGATTCTGGGAACTGACACTTTGGGAAACAGACCAGTAGCTCATCTAAGACAGTAATCTATTTCCCATATAAAATTCTCCAGGATTAAAATCCATCTGCATCCGGCCAACTGCAAAAGGCCATGAAGACAGTCCCCAGTGCTTGCTCTTAGCTATGAAGTTTTAATCAAACTGTGATGACTTATAGCACAAAACTGTGAAAATCATGGATTCAATCGGTTTCCATGGATATATTTATTGCAGTATGATTTAAAAATTATGTGTTTCATATATATTTATAAAAAAATATTCAGGTTTATTTAAAAAATCCCAATCCTACTGAAAACATAGCAGCAATTATCAATACCATGCCCCATAAAACACGTCAGAGCAAAAATATTTCTGTGCCTTTATGTGCTCTCACTCACAGAAACACTCATTACAGGCCAAATCTCAGGAGCATACATCCTGTTCACTAGGTTCTCGTTATCCCAGCCTGATCAAACAGAACTGCAAGAATTTTAAGTACTTGTGACTTCCACAAGGGATAGGAGTAACACACTTCTTTCAGAAGATGATCACCACATCATGTATCTGTACAGATATTTAATTTTTATCGTAAAAATTTAAAACTTAACTTCTGATGAACAGAAACAAAAATGATGCATTTTTAAGCAGGCAGAGCAGCTGAGTTTCCTTAATACAAATCCTTACAGTAGAGAGACAGATTATATCCTCAAGGAGTTAACAAATGATAGGCATATGCCTCTATGCCAAAGCCAAAATACTGAAAATCACAATACACAATCTTCTAGCAATCCCAGGCTACAAAGAGTAAAACATGCCAACACTTTGCATAACAGAAGACCCATGTACGGTGCAGCGACACATGCCATTTCTACTCAGACTCATGAATTTTAACTGCAGGTTGATACAAACAAAACTCATTAGAACTTGTTAGTAAAAGAGGAAAAAATGGCAAAAGTTCAAGAAGAGGTAATCTATAACCAGCATGAACTTTTTTGTTCATTTTTAGTACCATGCATAGGAATGGTGTGAAGAACATTCCATGTGCCATAAATATATCCACATTAAAGAGTTAACGTAATATAATTTCAGAGTAAAGCATACATAAAATTAAAGCAGTAACAAGGCTCTCAAGATGATGAGAAATTAAGCTAAAGATTCGTAGTTGCTGTAAATCATATACATACCTGCATTCCCCAGTCAGAATGTTTTCTTTAAGAAGAAATAGGTTCTAATAGCTTTGCAGTTCTGTCGTTACCACAAACCAGGAGTTATCATACATCAAAGTAATTTTTTAGTATTGATTGGTGAGGTATAGAACATACTCATTCTCCAAACCAGACACATGCAAGCACATACACTAAACCTAAGCTCAGAAGCGTTTTGCCAAAGTAAACCAACAGCTAGAAAGGAAGAAAGAAAAAAATACCAACTCACCCACTGTACTCACTCACACAATTCCCCATTAAAGGAAATTCTTTCAGGGCCTTCTTGAGTCTTTTAATCATGTCTTGAAACTCTGGCGAGCCATTGATTCCACAGTGTTCTGATGTGCTACAAGTTGTGCAAGCTGTAAGCAACAGGGCTGAACTCTGCACAGAGTGATACACCTACTGCACCTTAATATTTACCTTAGGGGGTTGGTCCCAGGGACTTGCCAAAGCCCCCAGGAAACCGGTTAGTAACAGCCCTGCCTTCTTAACTCTTCCACTGCCTTCCTGGATGAAAAATAGTTCACAGTCTGCTACGTCACTGTTTCGGTATGACAACTATGGTCTTAGTCATGTTAATTAGTTAAGGAAAAGCAGTTTCAAATTTCAAGAGGAGTTTTAAGAACTTAAGACTAACCTACTGTTAAAAGTGAATATCTCAAATCTGTATTCCAACCAGTTTCAGTGTCTGAATCTAATGCATTTTACATCACAGCAATTAGATGTCAGGGCATGAAATCTGTGGGGAAATGCTTCCCTGGAGCTTTACAGTAAAGACGGAGAGATCAAGCATCCATACACAGCACAGTGACTCAACGAGCAAAATGCCAACCCGTAATCAGCGCAGCAGAACACAGAAGGAACAAAAGGGGAAAACATCCTCCCTTAGTAAGCTACAAAACCCGAACTCCCAATTGCTTTTGCTTCATGAAATTGACTAAACAGTTAAAACTAGTAGTTTTCGAGAAAAGTAGAGCAGCTGATAAACAAGCAGTTCTCTGAGATTAGAACCATCAAAGCCTGATAACTTTGTATCTGCTTGTTGATAGCAAGTGATACTTAAAGCTATCTCCTTATTTGGGATATTTATAGATATTTTGCCAGGATGAATTCTTTGATGCCTTGCATAAGAGCACATATTTAGCTTTTACCATAGTGGGTGCAGCCTCCTTTTTCCAAGCCTCCTTCTTTTCCCTTTTTTATTCCAAAACCAAACTTCATAGGAAATGAATTACCTTAGAGAACTCTGCTCCTCAGGCACATGTGGCTGAAACTAAACAACTATTCAGTTAATGGAGGGAGCAGCCCTCCACACACACAGAACACATTTGTTTTCCTAAGAAACTGAGATTATTTGCCATAAAACGGAGATAACTTGCCATAAAAATGACTGTCCCTCTGATAACGTGCCTCTGAATTCAAATACTTGTCATTCACGTGTGCACAAGCTCAAAATTGCTTTACAAGTGTGTTTTTTTTTTTTTTTTTCTGCAGGGACAAATGCCCCTAACTCCTTCCCTCAGGCTCTCCTCTTTCACACAGTTTTTGGAGCACAGTCAAAAGATGATGTGTCTAACTTGCCTCTCGGTCTTCCAGAAAGCAGGCTGCGTAGTGTGTTAATTTTTGTAAGGACAGCAGAATCACAGCCATTGTATGACCTGTATTTTCCTCTGTTCAGAGCATGACTTCTCAATTAGCTTGATTAATAAATAGCAATGACTATGAGGGAGATAAAGTGGAATCCTTATAAGCAGTGACTCTGGGAGTGCAGTCCTGTGAATTAGGGTCAGATGTAGAGGTCAAGCTGAGGGAGCACAGCTCTGTATAAAACAGCACATAAATCCAGGTGGCAGACATTAGTGACAGAAACACAGAGAAAAGCTGATGTGGCCTCAGACCCAGCTGAGACTCTGATCTCCTCCCTGGGCAAACATCAGCAAAGCAGTAATCAATGGTAGTCATACAGCTTGAGATGAGCGAGCCCAACAGAGTTTTTGTTTTACACACAAAAAAATATATCTGTGGAACTTGTAGATATATTTAGTTTGAAAGAGATCCCCTCAGGCCCTATACTTTTAAGCTAATAAAGCTAATATAAAGCCTAAATTGACTGAATAACGCTTGAGGAAAAATGCGGAGAGGTTAATGGCTTGAGGGCGGTCAAAGGCCACCTTACACAGGAACTTCCACTCAGAACACAGACCACTTATTTCTGCAAAACACAGAGCATAGATGATCAGCGCCCAGGTTTCAATCAGAGTACATTATGGGTACAGAAAACTCGTTCCAGTGGCTCATGCAGTTCAGTTCCTCATCACCGCCATGAGCCAGAGTCACTTCAGAGGAAAACGAAAGAAACTTCTCAACTAACAATCTGAAGTAATTAAGCCATAAAGTTTATTCCTGATTCTTATTATTTAGAAGTTGGCTTAGTCCTGAAGCATGAGAATTTATATCCCCCTTTTTTTTAAAAATCTTGTATAATGTGATGTTTGCATGTATAATGGGAATACAGCTGATAAAGTAAGTAAAGGTGTCCTGCTAAACTCTTCAGTGCCAGTGAAACTCAATGGCTATGAGTTCCACAGATTAACTGTGCATTATTAAAAAACACCCGACTTTTCCTTAGAATAGATCAGATTGCTCAGAGCCCCATCCAACCTGGCCTTGAATGTTTCCAGGGATGGGGCCTCCACTACCTCTCTGGGCAACCTGTTCCAGTGTTTTACCACTCTCATTGTAAAAAATTTCTTCCTTACCTCTAGCCTGAACCTACCCTGTTCTAGTTTAAAACCATTTCCCCTTGTCCTAACACAGCTGGCCCTATGAAAAAGACGTTCCCCATCTTTCCTATAGGCCCCCTTTAGGTACTGGAAGGCCGCAATCAGGTCTCCCCGTAGCCTCCTTTTCTCCAGGCTGAACAAGCCCAACTCTCTCAGCCTGTCCTCATAGGAGAGGTGCTCCAGCCCTCGGATCATTTTTGTAGCCCTCCTCTGGACCCGTTCCAACAGTTCCATGTCCTTCTTGTGCTGAGGGCTCCAGCCCTTATCCATTTTTAGTTCTCCGTCTTTCCATTTTACAGACTGTATTAAAGCAGACCAATAATACATGATTTACCATTTCTTAACCTAAATTTATAAAATCATAAATGGTAAAATCCCTTCTACTTAGTTCTTTAACAGTCCTTGGCGTTTACAAATCTTTATGCAAAATGTTACCAAACTTTTTGCTGCATGAACATGCATAATTTCCAATTGTGTTATCTCACAAAAGTTTTTCACTGATGAAACAGGATAAGTTAGATGGTTAGTGCTCTTAAAAGCATTGTTGAACAGCTGCTCAGTAAAGTAAATAACCTGGCTTACATGTAGAAAAAAGCAAATCAAGATAGATTTGGGGAGGAGAGAGAGTTCCACCTGAACTTTTGAGGTGAAAATTTCTGCCATTTCAGTAGACTTGCTCAAGGAAAAATTTTCTTTTCAGGGGTAACATCCTTCAATTCTCCTCACCAATTTATGCAAGCTACAATTAAAAAGGTTTTGGATTCAGGTAAGAACTTTACCTTAGGACTTAGACAAGATGTCCTTTAAACTGGGAAGGAGTTTGTTTTAAACAGAGCCCTACTGTGATTTAAAAGATCTCAAGTAGTTTCTGAAGCAGCTGTGGAATCTGCAGGATTGGATCAGTGACAATGAGAAAGTGGAATGTGGCAGCGGTGGTTATTCCTGCCTGTCTCTGGATGTGATCCTGATCTTAATATAGGACTACATTTTTGTAGAACAATGATTCCAGTTGTTTTTACTGAGTAGTCTATTACAACATTCAAATTCCTCTAGAGATACAGCACAGAGTAATTTCATGGCTCCTGTTCCACTGAATCAAGACAGCCTACATGTAAGCTCCATTCCCTATGCTGTTCAGGTTCTCAATCCAGACCACAGGTGATATGCACTGTGGCATACCTCTAGCCCCAGTCACCTATATTTTTTTCCCTTAAATAACAGTTAGTGGCATAACAGAAATTACTAAAAACCCACTGACGAGATAACCCATCTGGGGCCTTTTAAGTCTCGGTGCTCTCAATCACCTCACTGGAATTATCTTTCTCCATTGCCTGTATGTGGAAATTCGATGCCTAACCTGAGTTTGAATTCTTGAAGTCACATTTGGCTTACTGCAATTTACAGCAAACAGTGTGAAGAGTAATAGAAAAGGCGTTTGAAGATCACTTATACTACTGAAATGCTTTCACAGCAGGCAGGAACTGTGCAAGTCTTTGGCCAATTTTCTAAAAGATTCTCATTCGTCACTGACATTTATGATAATTTCAGGAGCAGCAATCTGGCTGCAAGTTACTCAAGGTGAACTATTTGTACAATGAGTGTGGCACTGGAGTAAGACTATAAGGATAACAAGTAATTTCCAAAAGCTTTGATATCTATGTGCTCTGATAAGTAGTGAACCCATGAAAGCACCCAGTGAATTGCCCAGGGGCTACTTTCACAAAAAACAGCCTTAAAAGAACCCAAATTGCTGATATAGTGTGTAACTGCAATAGAAAAGCATGTTTTTTAAGAAAAAAAACCCCAAATCATTAAAACTTGTGTGTGTATAAACACACACACACACACACACAATAAGCATTTCACTTCTTTTGGAAGCAAGATAAAACAACAGGAGAGTGATCTTCTGTAGCTATGGAACAACAGAACTCATATCTATCCATTACTGGCTTAGTTTCAAATCCTTTTGACAAAGTTAACATCTTTTGGGGAATTAGACTGGTAATCCCAACTTGGGCTATGAAGAAATGCTTTCTTACCTAAACCAGAATGGAAAGAATATACAGACCTCACTACTTGAAGGAAGTATTTCAGTAAACATACAGTTTCGTTTTTAGCTCATCCAAGTCTGGCCCAAAGATCCTATAAAGGAAAGTTATGGCTGACTTGTAGCTATCAAAGGAAACTATTCAATTTAATACATAACTGAAACTGAAACGGCTGTGCACAAATCAGTGGTACCTTGATTTACAAAGGCACTACCATCTAAAGCAGTGCTGAATGAGGCTCTGGTTCAGCTCTGATGGGCTTTATGAAGACAGGAAAGGAAGAACCGGAAGGCTGTGCTGCAGTTTTCTTTTAGGAAACGTCTCAATCTAAAAAGCTGCTACTGGGTATAAGCAGTGATCTCTCAATGCTGGGGAAGAGAAACCTTTATCTTGTGCAACTCTAATAGCAACAGTCTGACCTGCTAGATAACAAAGCCTTTGAAGAATCTTTTTTTTTTAACTCTGTCTGGATTCCACACTGTGCTGTACCCACCTTCATCAATTACAATGACTTAAGCCAGAAATATCATGTTACCTTTTTTAGAGGTCAGTTTTAGGTTTTGCCTGAGAACAACTGCTGCATCATGTACTATGGCTGTTCTAAGAGCACCTGATTTTCAGTCCAATTAATGACAAAGCTCACGTGACTGCTGAACTTTAGCAAAAATTAATCCATCTACACATTTTTGGTAAATTTAATACATTAGTATTTGCTAGCTCCTTTTGAACCATCATACGTGCATCCTGGCACCAAATAGAAACAATTGCATGGATAAAACAACACCAAGTTCTTTGGTGTAACAGAGAGATAGTTTTCAGCTTTCCGAAGAACTGAGTATTTTGCAAGTGCTGTTCAAAGGGAAAAACTGACCTTTTAGTGGTAACTTGAAGTACATGCAGCCCTGTTCTGTGGTTATATTATCAACCTTTAGCAGCTATGTTTCATTGCAAAGTAAGGAAACATTGTATCTTCATTTAATTTGCTTTCAAGACCCCCCAGTAATCTGACATTTTTAAAGCTTGTATTATTTTCCAGGTCATCAGATTGGTTTTCCAGTGAGCTTACTTCTGTTGGCGTTCTCAGTTAGAAGTGTCGTGTTCATTGATTGCTATCTTTGTGTCTTCTGTTTTCCTCTAAACCTCTGCAAGCTTAGCTGAAGATTTTAAACATCTTTTCCATGCATGTATTTTAGCCTGAGTTAACACTAACCTCTTACTTATACCTGAAGAGTTAACACAAACCAAGTATAGTAGCTCATCTGTTATGTCTCTTGCTTGTGCAAAAATGGCAGTTGAGAATCCTGATAGTGAGATACTAAAAACAAAAGCCAAAACCCTTAAACAAAACAATTAACTTCATCTTTTGGCACTGTAAGGCTTCACTAGGGGTCTTTTATCAATATTAAAAATTAAGTAAAAACCCCAAATAACTTTAGGCATCAAATTGCATCAAGGTAACTGAATAACTGAAGACTAAAGATTATCTACTGTCCGGTCTTCCCACAATGTATTTCTCAGCACCTCAGTGTCTTTTCTTTGAAATTTGTAGAAACCATATAACAATATTGTTAGAAAGAAGAAATTCCAATTTAACATTTGGAAAATTACAACTGTCACTAGGGAAAATTGTGAGATACGGTTTTAGCCAGTATCAGAAACATAAAAAATAGACATACTTCTTGGAATAAGCGATTGAGACAGGACAGAATGACCTAATTAGCGGTGTCCCTGCTCACTGCAGGGGGGTTGATCTAGATGACCTATAAAGGTCCCTTCCAACCCAAAACATTCTATGATTCTGTGACCAATTGCCTCCAATAGTAAGGGCAGAAGGTATACCAGTAATAGTGCAAAAATAGAAAACGTAACAGCACCATCTTTAGGGTAGTCTTGGAACAAGTGCCAGCTGTGACTGCTACCATTAGCCTGTTACTGCCCTTTTTCCACCGAGATAAGCAGCTGCCCCTTCCTGACTGGTCCTCCTTGTCAGATCAGCGAACTGGCTGAGAAATAGCCGCAAAATTATTTTTCCTTTGGATCGCTTCCCCAGTCTGGTTCACCATGGGTGACCACACGAACTGCCTTGCCAGGTAGATCTCACCACAAGAGCAGGGCACTAAGGAGGTGGGAGCAAGTGAATCTTCTGATGCAATGCATTCGGTTATGCTGCTAAAACAAAATATTGGTACAACTTCATCTTCTCTAGGTTCCCGTGGAGAGAATAGAAAAAATGGGTTCCTCTAAAGGGGGATTGAGAGCACAAACTTCTCCAGTTCTTTAAGTTGCTCTCTAAAGCTGTCTACTTCTCCCCATTTAATTTAGGGTAAGTCTAGAGAGACTAGACTCCTGTCAAGGGTTATTCTAGCCCTGGGTACATTCCCCAATGTCTTCAGTCCTTCAGCCTTATACTGTAATATGCACAGGGACACCCCCTTTTGTCATTGCCCACACCCCTTTAATTGTCATATTATTGTGTACGTCTTGCAGAGATGCTGAACACTTACAGCTCCTACTGACTTTAATAGCTTGTGAAAGTGTTTGATGTTTCTGAAACTCACACCCACAGTTTGCACTGGGATTTTTTTAAACCCTATTTGTTAATCTTAATGTTTTGGGGTTTTTTTGGTGTTGTTGTTTTTTGTTTTTTGTTTTTTTTTCTTTTAAATAAAATTCTTGACCCTGAGATTGCAGTTCATCCAAGTCTTCAGAAACAGGCAGTATGCTAAGGTTTTGGAGACCATCCTATCTTGTATTTGGAGCACTTAATTCAAATATAGATCTACATAAAACAGTTTTACATCATACTATGATAAACCCTATCAACACCTTACATTACAAAACCCAAAGCTGTCCATATCTGACAAAAGGCAAACAGTCTGACAAGTAGTCCTCGTCTTCCTGAGTAGAATACTGTGTCAGTGTTCCCAAGATGTGATACAGGAGTGATTTAATTACAGTCGGTGCGTGTGGTCACTCCTGGTTAGTTAAATATATAGTTACTTTAAGGCAAGCAGCAATCAGTTTACAGCAAACTCAAGCTATGGTCACACCGAGATTTCTATTAGTTTAAGTCAACTTTAAAACCATTTTAACTAAAAATCACTGCAACTTTCTTGTATAAACAATAGCGAAAGAACACTGCCACGATACATTTTCTGAGGCTCACACATAGCTCAAACTTCACAAAATTTTTCATTTCCTTCCACTAGGTTATTGTTAGAATTAATTAAATAATGCAAGTTTGAAGCTACTTTGGAATTGGTTGGTATAGTGACATTAGAAGACATACTCTAATACACCGACAGCCGTGGTCTGTGCTCACAGAAACGCAGACTGTGCCCACATGACTGCAACAAACGTCTCCAGCCCTCTCTAGGCTATGGGCTGTCATGAGCTGTAGGAACTCAGTGGTATGTTGAAAAACATGCATATCTGGAAATAAACACAGTTCTTCGTGTTCAGAGACAACCAAGCAAGCACATGTACCCTTGATAAGGGAACAAACAGACCTTTAAACCAACAGACAAACCTAAAATGTTCAACTACCATGAACTTGTAGGAGTAAAGTAAGTATCTACTGGCCAAAGACTTTCACAGAAATTGAAATAACAAATCATTTTAGTAAATTCTGATAAAAAAAAGAAATTAAAAATGAAATCACTGAACAAAATTGTCAGGCAGAAATGGAGCAACCAGCTCTACTGGATCCAATACTGCTAGGGGACAATGTATATTCATCACTAAAAGCCTTGCAGAATGGAGATAGAATTAAATTATCTATAAAATAATCTATTATTACTTTTTTACATGGTTTATTTTGGGAGTGCTGCAGTGATGTTGCAGTATAGCATCAAGTTAATTAGCATCTCTTGTATTCTTGGGTATGAGAGATACAGTTAGCACACCACCTTTTGTGAGTCATAGATCTTTCAATTTCTATTATGCTTTTCAATAGTTGCCTTCTATTTCTGCAGAGGAATTCTTTGGTTTCCTACAACATAAGAACACTTTCTTAAACTAGAAATTCAGGAAAATGTATTTTATTCAATGTAACATGGCTATTGTGACATGCTACTGAATCTGCAAACTTCAAATATAAGGTGCTGTTTCTGTTCTTTTTTTTTAAATCCCTTCTGATATCCAATATGCTTTCAGTTACCTAAATTCAGTATGTCTTGAAAAAATGA